GGGCAAAGCAAAGCACACAATCTCAGGGTGCCCCAAGAAGAAAAGAGTGCTCAACCCTTTCCGAGCATTCTCTACCTGAAAAACCCTGGAAAAGGGTTGTCATAAGTCAGAATTGACTTGATGGCACAGGATTATTATTATAATCTCTTGAAGCATTATAAAAATCTAGCTCCTTTCTAAAGACTATTGAATCTCTGTTGCAACCCTGCATGAGCCTTCCATCCCTCCTGTTGCCTACAGAACACCAGGATACATACAGATACAGAACGGATAAATTTAGCTGTACGAATCCATACCATCTGACACATGAAAGGTGAGACCTTTGTGCAGAGGATTGCGGTCGCTGGCTTGCGGCTGCTCTCAACCAAACCAAAGAATCCCAAAAAGCTTCTGCCAAATTACACTTGTTTGTCTTTAAGACCCTGCAAGACCCTTTATTGTTTTTACTACACTACATAGATACGGCAGCCGATGCCATTTTAGCAGCAATGGTTCTGTCCTACAAAACTCTGGGATCAGGCAAGGTCCTTAAGATGTTCTGCTCATTCGGGGAGTTTCACTAGTATCATCCAGAGGTGTGCACAAGAGATCTCTAGCAGAGAATATGCCGGTGAGCTGCATTAGATGACGCCATGACAGTTAAAGCAGCATAGCTGGTTGATATTGTGTTGGGTGTTCCTACTCGGAAATAAACCCTATGGATTAGGGGAAGATCATTTTGATGCTTTCAAAGCTGTTTTCACAACAAAAAACACATCAATAGCAAAGATTGCATGTCTGGAATTCTGAATATGCCACCTGGTTCTAGACATCAGATTTCAATGAGAATTTCAAAGGTTCATAAGGCTGCTCTTGGCAGAGATTCCTGTCACTTCCCTCAAAAACCTGGCCCTATTTCCATCGAATCAGGAATCTGCAAAGCTAACTTCTAAATGTGCCAAGGCCAGAAACAGGCATTAAAGACAACCCATTGCTGCAAGAGGGAAATCCTTAACCAATGTGGGCATCTGCATGTCACAACAGGAGCTTCTCTCAACTCCAGCGTTACACAGATTAGCTTTCTTTGTTTGGTGATTCTTCTTCAGAATTTCGGTGTGAGATTCCTGGGAAACTCATTTCACAAACCTGGAAAGACTGCCTCCCACATCCGGCTGCAACACGAATGTGCTTTTAGCTCTAATTAGGAGCGGTCTTTAGAATCTCTTTCTGCCCCTCCTCACACACCATCGGGAACATTGGGTTGCAGCTCCAATCAACAGCTTACCTTCACACAGAGCTTCTGCTCCAGGGACTGTATTGGCAGCACCACCGTTTCATCCCAAACAGGGTTCAGGTTCTTATAGATCACTCTGCTTTTATAGAGGGTTTTCCCGCACAGCTTAAACTTCACATAGGGGTCACTCGTACCTTGCAGGAATGAAGAACAGAATGGATTGAACAAGAAAATATTAAAATTACCTATGCGCTCCATGAGCATTTCCAAAACTGAAAGATGGTGAAAGCCTTTATCTCGGTATTTTTCCCCTTCTGGGCAAAGATGTATTGGAAAAAGCAGCTTCAGTTTCAATGCACTGTCATTTTTTTTCCATTAACAGGAATAAGGACATCATTTCCCTATGAGGATTGAGAAATGAATTTTCTCAGCAACAATATAGGGTTGTAAACAAAGCCAAATATTTTAGGGAGGCTTAGTTTTGACCTGTTCCTTCCAGAGATGTAAACTGCTAGAACTACCATATTTTTCTGTGTATAAGACACCCGCATTTTTCTAATCCAAAATTAAGAAATCTAAGTGGGGCTTAGCAAGTGTAGGGGGAAGGGATCAAAGCGCTGCAGGATCGCTTTGATCCCTGCTTTCCCCTCCACTTGTTTTTGTTCTCTCCTCAGCTTGCTTCTGTGTATAAGATGACCCTCAATTTTTAGTCTAAAGATTTTAGACAAAAGTATAGTCTTATACATGGAAAAATACAGTAATTTGTTCATTAACATACTCTTATACATGGAAAAAATATGGTAATTTGTTCATTAACATAGTTGCCTACACTGTTGTCTTCTCCTTAGACAGCACAGACATGTCTGCTATTGTGAAAAAGGCATGAACTTCAAAACTGACAGTGATCCCACTGGGCTGGGTGGGCACTATGACGAGTCGTGGCTCCTTGACTTTGGCATGCGCTCCACAGGAAGGCCTGCTTGGCACCTTCACATTTGCGCCAGGCCAAAGCCATTTTCCCAGGCAGTTAAAAAATGCTAATTCCAGTGTTTTCAACTTGTTTCTCCTTCTTGGTCACAGCCATGAGAGACGCCAAGGTTTTACATCCTTAAATTTAAAAAAAAAATCCCCAGTGATTTCCAGAAGAGGAAGCTGAGGAAGGAATCATTCGAAACAGGGCGAGTTCTCCTCGACAGTCTTCGCATCCCAGCCAAAAGCAGCATTTTGATAAGACATGTTCTAGGGAGTTAAGTCCTACTGCTGGATAGCCCAGTGGTTTAGGTCTCAGCCAGATATTGGGAGTTCAATTCCCTGCTGGGCCTCCTTGAAAGGGGCCAGGCTTGATTATCCATAGGGTCCCTTCCAGCTTTACCGCTCTAAGATGATGATTAGCAATATTTTTATAACTCAAGGAAGCTGATTCCTATGTACATACAGATGGGATGGTCACTTTCGAATTGGCCTTCTCAGCCACACTAGACGCTGTTCCAAGACCTCTATTCAGAGCACGTGACCATAGACTCTCGAGACTGAAGGAGGCCTACACAGATGGGTCTAAACTGTAAAAACGAATATATAAAATAGTGAGGGTGGGGAGAATAAGAGTCAAAACATCCCTCAACAGTCTTTCCTCACATCTTTCCCCTCTTTTCCCTACAATTCCTTACCTCTGTCAGTGGAAACAAAAACATGTCATTCGATAGATCCATCTGTTCCAAATGGGATCCCCTTTTATTAAGCACAGAGAAAGGAAAGGAGAAAACACCAGCCGTGTGTGTTTCATAGCTACCCAGATAAACACCGGCTATGAAGTATGTCTAAAAACCTTCGGAGGATGCTTTCCCCCTCCACCTCAGAAATGAGCTGATTTGCTGTAGTGCCTTTTGTTAATTTCTCTTGAATATTCAAGTCTTCTCTATTCTTCAAAGAAGAAAAAGAAAAGAAAAGAAAGGGAGGATGAGAAAGGAAAACAGAAGATGCCAGAGAAGAAAAACAGCCTTTATCTTCTTGATAAGCAGTGACCGCTGGCAGTTTTTAAAAAGGTCCCTCAACTGTTAATTACAAGAAAGAGGCAGTATGAAGGCGAAACAAGGAAAGCCACTCGCGGAACGAAAACACGAAGAGGGCCATGGAAGCAGGTGGTCCAAACACATAACTCATCTGTCTATTAAATGGAACAAGAGTCATTGGACGAAGCACATCTTTGAAAGTGAACATATAGGCAATGCTTTTTTCTTCTTTTTTTTAATCCGCTGCAATATTCACACAAAAAATAACTTCTTCCTCCTCCTTCTATACTGAAAAAAAAATAATCTCCACGGGGATATTCTGGCTTCCTTGCGTCAACACTGACGTTTCATGCATGCTGGAATAACATCTCCCCAACCTACTCCAAACTCTTCTCTTACTGTAAAACAATGCCGTTGATGTGAAACAAGCTTTTTTCCCCTTTTTTCTTTCTTTCTTTCTTTCTTTACTGTAAAACAATGTTGTTGATGTGAAACAAGCTTTTTTTTTCCCCTTTTCTTTCTTTCTTTCTTTTTAAGTGTGGATGTGTGTGGGGTTTGGCTAGGAGGACGGATGGGAACGCTAATGAAAGAGTCTTTTAATTAAATGAGATTGCCTCCCTGGGATCAGGACTTCATGCTTGTCAGCTTAGTCTCAAAATAAACATCTCAGAACGGGGCCTCCGAGGTGTCACTTACGGACGCAAAGCACGCCGGGTAATCCCTAGGTATCTTGACAGCTACATAATGTTCAAACTGTTTCACGGGTGAACAGAACCACTTGCATGAAAGAAAATATTAATGTCTGGAATTAATAGGGGAGGGGGAAAAAAGAGGGACGAGGGGCTTGACGAAACCAAAAACGAGGGAAAGAAGGTGTCAAGTTAGTAGAACGTTAATTGTGAGGGGGAAAAAATAATTGAGAGGCGTAGGGGGAGAAGAAGCCAGAGAAAAACGGTGCGCGCAACAAGGAATGGAAGGGGGGATGAGAACGTCCATTCCCAACCCAACCAAGCAGTGCAAAAGAAAAAAAAGAAAAGCTGTCTGACTGTCAAGAAAGTAACGTCTCAACTAGGCAGGCGTTTGGAAAAGGGCAAGGGAGAGCGGGTGCCACTAAAGGCGAGGAGAGATACTGCACAAATGATGGGTCTTCAGTGTCAACCAACAGATCGGCTTTAACCTTAATATCATCAGCTTTGGAAACAATGGCGGGGGGAGGCGTTTACTTCAACAGAGACAGCGGCTGAGATCACACCCATGAATGAAAACGCTTGAGCCTTTCCAAAAAACAAAACTGTCAATTTTGTGTGTGTATATATACGTATATGTATATATACACATACACACTAACCTACATGTTTTACAGAAAGCAATGTTCTCTGTTGATACAACAAACATAAGCAAGCAGAAATTAATTAGACCTTTCCCGTTCATATTAACCACCTAAAAGCTTGCATAGGGAAAAGTACGCTTCTATGGAAATAATAGTAACCTGAAGCATATCCAGTCTTTCTTCAGCATCCTTCCTTCCTGAAGTGAAAGTAAGTGAATTCATTCAGTCATTGTGTCCTATTGCAAATTCCATGAAAATAATAGTTCAATAGCATTCAAAGCAGCGGCTAAGAAAATTAGCCTCACACAAAGAAATGTCATCTCCTTGTGTGGGGAAAACGGAGCATGAAATCTAAACTTTGATTTGCTAAGTCATTTTGTTTTGGGTTTTAAAAAAATAAAACTAAAATCACCATGCAACTCAAAAGAACAATCCAGCCTTGACGGGTTGAGCCCATCATACCATCTAGTCTAGTATTCTGTTTGCTATGATCAAACCGTTGCACCTAGGAAACCTTTCAACAAGACATGAGCAATACTACTTTTACCAACTCATGTTCCTCAGCAACTGGTATTCAGATACTTCTGTCTCTGCCACGGAAGGCAACAGAATAATAATTGCAAGATGTCAAATCAATTCTAACTTCCGGAAAGCCTTTCCAGAGTTTTCTAGGTAAAGAATATACAGATGTGGTTTTCTTCCCTGGTTGCTTGAGGGAAATGTTCTCTCGTTATCCCCCAATTAGTTTGTTGTGGGTTTTTCTTTTCTGGTTACAGGACGCACAGTCAAGGTTGAGACATTTTCCCGACCAACGATGTAACTGCGTAACATGTCCATTATGTGTGATACATTTCCGCAGGAGCAGTTAGTACAACAGAGGGCACTTTCCTAAAGGAGAAAGCCTTTCCTAATCAACGTTCTTTCTCACTTTCAGCCCTGATGGGTAAGGTTCCACCCCTCCATGCGCAGGTTGGCCCCCCACACAGCTGCAAGTCTGCCCCCCCCATGTGTTTCCATTGCAAACAGAATGAAAAGGGATGGAAATTATTGCTGTGGGTTCACGGGGGGAGAGGAAAGCTATACAAAGGGGGCCGATTGTGTGTGTGTGTGTGTGTGTGTGTGTAATTATATACTTTATATTTTATACTTATAATGTAATATAATATAATATATATTTTTATGATATTTATTTATTGTATTTATACCCCGCCTATCTAGTCATTTCGACCACTCTAGGCGGCTTACAACATAAGGATAACAAGTTCTAAAAAAATATATAACAATTAATTAATTAAATGATTCTATAAGATGGGAAAAATAAAAATAAATCAAATAAAGAGGGGGGGAAGGAAAGAGGACAGGAATTAACTGGAAGGGAAGGCCTGCCTATACATCCATGTTTTTAGTTGGTTCTTAAAAGTACCCAGCGAGGGTGCAGCGCGAATCTCCGGAGGTAGGTTGTTCCAGAGGCAAGGAGCCACCGCTGAGAAGGCCCGGTTTCTTGTCTTTTCTTTCCGGGCCTCCCTCAGCGTCAGGCTCCTCAGCCTCACCTCCTGGGTCGCGCGGGTGACATGGGTAGAACTAATATAATATAATACAAACCAAGGGGCTGATTTGCCCTTGAAGCAAGAGAGAAAATAGACTGGTACCATGGTATAGCTGGGCATAATGAATCAAATAGGAGGAAATAAATCGGTACCATTAAAAGTTCTTGGGACATTTGCTGTGAGATATAAACCACGTGACCACGATTCAGTAACAACCGAGGTATGGAATGTATTGGAAGAACTAGAAAACATTTTCCTCGTGTGACTGACGTCAAAGTCACAGAAGTAGCTTTTGTTTTAAAAAATAA